CTTATTCCACTGAGCCATCTCCCCGGCCCCCACCCAACAAGTATTGATGACCACCTGTTACAACTCCAGCACTGCACTGAATGACATCAGGGAATCTAGAAACAAGAGGGGGGCAGAAGGCAACCTCTGTCACCCTGAGAGAGTTCCATTTTCCTCACACAAACCATGTTGTGGGTGTTCTCTGTGGAGTAGGTTGTGTCATGGAAGTGGCACAGAGGGGACAGAGGTTAAGGGGCCTCAAAGAGACACCCTAGTGACCTCTTGTCCTTGAAGCAGTTACTCCAAGTGTAGTCCAAATGCACAAACTCACCCCAATTCTCACGTTGAAACCCTAGCCCACAAGATGATGCTGTGAAGGGGTGGGCCTCTGGGAGGTCAGCATGGGCAGGGTGAATGCCCTTGTAGTAGAGAACGGAGCTCACCTTTTCTACTCTAAGAATAGATAGCAATTTGTGAAGCAGGAAACGTGACCTCACCAGATGCCAAAGCATCCCAAGAGGCCTGGGACACTCCCTCCTGGTGTGCATGCATCATCATGAACTGCAGTCCACCTTGCTGAGCTAGGTGGGTGTCCACCTTTACCATGTCTGGCCCCATCATCTCATCCTGGGCTTCTGAAGAAGGGCCAAGTCTTTCAACTTTTGATGAAAAATTAGCCAAAGGCCACTAACCTGACAAATCATTCTTGGCCAGACTGCCAAGAAAAGGCAGGGGTCCAGTTGTTCAGTCTACAAGTTCTGTGCATACCAGGGCCACCTCTCTTAGAAGAATGCAGGAGTGCAGGCTAAGGATACTGAGTGGCCAGTCCAGTCCTTCCACTTCCCTTCCTACAGAACAGCACTTGAATCGTTCTGATGAGCGCAAATTCTAGACACCTCTAAGTTTTTGCTGGGGAGAAGCGTCGCCTGTCTTTCTCTGGAGGTCTCCTGGTCAGGAATGATTCCCTCATGGTACAATGCAAGTCCATGGCAGTGAGCAGGAACTTTCTAGCCACCACCTGCTATCATCAGCTCTCAGAGATGATTCTCAAAACCTCTTGCAAAGCTTTCATTTTCTGGATAACACACATTGGCTCAGCTCTGCACAGGCTTCTGACACAGGTCCGCAGAGCAGCAGCTGGCGAATCCTGACTCAACATCCCTGCTGGGAAGCTGGCTGCCCCAGGGGGGGATGGGCGCAAGGCCTTCTCTTTCACAGCAGTGCCCCAGCTTGCGCAATGCACTGCCCACCAGGCCCTTGGCAGGGTCGCTGTGCACTGGCCTCCTGTCCTTTCTGGAGATGAGTCTGATCAATGAGCTTCCTCAGCAGCCTCCTGTGTCCCTGGCGCAGTGTGCATCAGTTCCTTCCAGGTCAGCAGAGCGGCTGCTCTTGCCATGGGCACTGGTGACAAGCTTCAAGACCCTCCCCTCTAGGGACACCCAAGCTCCTTCCAGACCTTGGTCAGGACCCTTCCTGCCTGGCACACACACTTCTACCAGACCGTCTGCTGACAGATGCACACAGCTTTGGCTGTGTGTTGTGCGCAGGCTCCTCCTGCGTGGCTCCTTCTTTGTTTCTCACCATGGTCCTTTTGCAAAGTTCAGGTAACAGCAGCTCCAGCTAAGTGGCGATTCCCACCCTGCATGAAACCTCACATGCAACCCTAGACCCAGAGAAAAAAATGACAAAGATACAAACAATAGGCAAAGGGGCAAAAGTGCTACATGCTGTTCAGGCCCAGTGCCTCATTTCCACCAGTGTAACAACACATTTTACCATTTTGCTTTATTTTTTTCTTGACTTTAAATGCCAGGGCTTGAATCCATGTTTCTCTGTACTCTGAATCACTTTTGAAGGAAAGCAAAGGTATACTGTTTAGTGAAGTTCAGGTATCTAAAATTTTCAGTGGAGCCACTAAAGATCCAAGCTGAATGCTGGTAAAACTGATTAATTTCCCAGCTGCTCTTCCTGCCCCAGTTGGGTTGGAGACTGGCTATGCACAGGCTTCTGCCTGAGGGTCCTCTGCCTGGCACACCCTGGGTAGGAGCCAGGACGCACCATGCACTGAGCCTGGAGATCGGGGCGAGCTCTGACACAGGTGGGAACACCTGCAGGAAGCCAAGGGGAGAGCTCACCGAGAAGCCTGAGTTGGGGGCAGCCTTAGAGGCCAGGTAGCCCTGAAGTCTGTGGTGACAACACAGAGCAGGGAGTGAGGAGAGAAAACAGGATTTAAAAAAGGAGAAGAGGAGGGTCTGCCAAAGGAAAAATTAAATGCAGAGTCAGAGCCTGACACAGGACAGGTTCAGCAAAGGGCAGGTGGTAGAAAGCAGGGTCCAATCTCCAGCACAAGTGTAGAGCTGGCACTGTGGGTCTGTGTGACATGAAAGTGGGGCAATAAGCAGGCTGGGAGGAACCCCGATCCCATCACTACTTACTCCTCCAACACTTTCTGGGCTCCAAGTTTGTCCATCAGCACCTGGAACTGGGCTTCCTCATCCTGGTCCACATGCCCCAGGTCCCCGTCCCCTCTGGACTGGTACACCTTCTCCTCCTGGAGCTGGGCCACCTGCTCACCTGCATCCTCCTGACATGGATTACTCTGGCTGAAGAAGTGGCCTGGAGTGCCGAGCATAGAGATCTGAATTACACAGTCCTCACTCAGGAAGAATTTAGCTTTTGCTATGGGCAGGAATCACCCAGGGTTCATCAGAAGGAAGCAAATGGGACACTCCCTATGGCCAAGCTGTAACCTAACGTGATCTAGATTTCCTGCTGTTTGCACATACATATGCATTTTGCAGAAATGCTAAAGCCTGGGAAAGACAGGTGACATGAAGGTATGAGGGCTCACTGTGGTCACGACTCAGAACACAGTTTTTCACTGATTTCTTCTCTAAACACTAGACCCTTCCCTCTATGTCTCCAGAAGCCAGCTGCCTGAACTCTGTGCTGTCACCCCCCACCCAACACACACACACACACACACACACACACACACACACACACACCCCAATCTCTTTACTTCACAGATGCTACACTTCCTCCACACTCAGGCTTCCCAGTCTACAGAAACCTGTCTCATTCCGAAGGCCAGGAAAGGCATCAGAAACTTCTGCTAAAAAGTATATAGTCTCTGACAGGAAGTCGATACATGGGATGGATCTCAGCTCTGCTTCCCCTGCCTATCCTGAGTACAAATGCTTTATTCAAAGTTTCTAAAAATTTCTCTAATAGCTGGTCTCCCTCAACCCTGAAGACTTAGCCAGGCTTGGGTAGGAATGTGCCACCCAGTTATCCCACTTTCTGTCCAGGGCAAGAAAGCTTGGAGGATGTGGTCCACAGATCTGGACAGGCTGGGAGTGCAGCTCATACAGCTTAGGTACCCTATTGCCCGAGCACCCAGCAGCACTTACTAAATCCAGTAGCAAACTCCTCTGGGGTCAGAAAACCATTGCCATCAGCATCCAGGGCATCAAACACATCCTCCAGGTCCTGCAGGCTGAGGGGCAACTCCTCATGGAGCCTCTGAAAGCAATACAAACTCACTGGTTAAGGTCCCTCATTCCCAGGGGCTAGCCTGGGGCTCAGAGCCATCTACCAAAAGACACTTGGGAGTTCGATCCATGCCTACAAAGGCCAAGGATGAGCTTCTGCATGCACCTGCCTTACCATCGCCTCCTGCCCTGCACATTCAGACAGACCCCACTGACTGGGTGCTGATGACTGATGGCCCCATGAGTCACTAGGGGGCTTATAAGTAAAGACACAATGTGCACACATGTACGTATGTGTATGTCATTCTAACTATCATGACAACTCTTTGAGGCAGGCTTTGTTTCCCCATTTTACCGACAAAGCCTGAGGTTAAATCGCCTGTTCCAAGGTCGAACAATGACATAGCTAGGGGCAAACCTGGGTCTCACTGCAAGGCATCCTGGTCCTCAGAGTCTGCCATGGGCTAAGGCTGCACAGGAAGGAGCCCATGGGGAAAAGAACTGCATGGCAGGTGTTGAGCAGTTATAGGGTAAACAGAGGACACAGTGAATAAGGAGGGATAGCGAGGATGGAGCATGCCACTGAGCCACAAGACACTGTGAGCAGACACAGAGCCAGGCTTCCCTGCCCTGCAAGAGTGCCTCCCTGTCACCAGGCTGCATCGCTGTGGCCCTGCCCCAGCAGGTGGTGTCCCTCATTTCCAGCACCTTTCCTGACACAGACCTCAGAGTGTAAGCACTGCTGTGTAGACACCCACAGACCACTCGGAGTCCTTCCCCAAGGGCTCCAAGTTCCTCACCCCATTTGGAACCCGCTCCTGTCCCCTCCCAGCCAGCCACCAATTCCTGACAGGTTAACCACCACTGGTATTAGGTATCAGCTCCCAAGAGTATATGGGACTTATAGGAGGCTGGGTAAGAGGGTGCACAGGGTCATAAATAAGCATAGCCCTTTAGGAAAGGGAAAGGCAGGGACTGGGGCAAAAGGGCTGAGCTGTTGCCACCACTCAGCCTTCTGTGTGACAGACAGACAAAGCCAGTGTGCACTCCTGCGAGTGTGCTCTTCTGCCCTAGTTCTCCGTGTTCAAAAGAGAGCTCCCCACGCGACTTCATTCCATCTCAGGCCACTGTTCCTCTTCCTACCAGTAACTGAAGGGATGAGGGACAGTACAAGGCTGCACCTGCAGAAATGACTCATGGCTGAAGACTACAGACACCAACTCTACCTGCCCATCTGAGCAATCAAAGATCCCTTAACATTCCTGGCAGGAATACCAGGCTCAATCCTGCAGTCATCTTTCAGATAACAGGCTAGAGTTTAATTTGGCACATGAGCATGGGAGGCATTCCAGAGTGGGGAGTGCAGCTGGAGCACAAGCCACTTGGAAGGCCTGAAGTAAATATGAATACAAGGACAGTGTGGACGAAGCCTTAGAAGTGTGTCTGCCTGGCATCTCCGGCTTATCAATACATATAAACCAACTGTCTCAAAAGCCACAGGAACACGGGCAGAGAGGAAGTCAGTTTCACAAGCCAGAAGCTGACCAGCTCCACTGGCAACAAGGGCATTGTGCTGGAGGTGGGATAAAATCCAAGGCCCAGTCACACCCAGCAACCCCAGTCCTTTGTCTCTTCCCCCTCACCAGGATTGCGGAATCTGATGAAAACTTACTATGTTGCCCTGGAGGCAGGAAGGAGCCGGAAGCAATTTTAGAGGTCAGTGGGACCCTTTACCTGCCTCTCACTCAATCCATCCCACATGTGGCACCTTCTCCGCTGCTAGCATGAACCAGAGAAAGCTACTGCAGATCTCATTGTTGTCACGCTCCTGCTTTTAACCTTAAATCCTTCCAGCTGTCTAATCCCATCTCTCCCATTTCCTCCTTCTGTTGACAGTGAAGATGGCAAAAGCCACACCGTCTTCCCAGTAATTCTCACTCTTCTGCCCTACAAGTCAGTGCCCACTGCCTTTTTTGCAAGCTGCACTATATCAGACTCTTTCATCTTTTGCTGTTGGCCCTACTTAAGAAGTATTTTAGCTTTAATAACCATAATTATCTCTTATTTATCTTTCTTCTCAGAGCTTGCAGCACCATGCAAAATCAATTTATTCTGGTCTGGTCCCCTGGGCCTCTGGTGCTGTCTACATCTTTAACTGAGATAAGTAGGGTGGAGGAGAACAAGATTATTTATTCCACTGTGCTGGTGGGGCTCTGAGACGCGCCTGCAGAGTGCAGACCAGAGCAGGGAGAAGGGGCTACTTTCCCACCTGGGGTGTGAGGAATAGCCCAGCGGCCTCCGGGTGTGTTTTCCCCCAACACCCCCACCTCCAGTACCCGGCCACAACTCCTCTTATCACACCAGGGGCCCCTTGCCAGCCCACCTTTGCATACACCCAGGAAGCAGGCCCAGGAAAAGAAAAGAAATGGAAGAAGGCTGCCACGTGCCCCCCTCTGGCTGTCTAAGGCTGAGGGGCTCCTTGCCACACCAGCTTCTTCACCCCATCTGCAGGCCTGAAGTCCTCCTCCACTCTCTGCTCCTCTATCACTTCCTGTAGCTCCTCGGAGTGATGCAAAGCAGGGCCCAAAGGTGGCCCAAACCTCAGTCTCTCTGTCAGAAATTTCACTTTAGCCCGAGCTTGCTATTTAGCTTTCTGCTTTCTTTCTTTCACTTTATTTTTTGTTTGTTTCTTTGCTTACTTTGGTGTTCTTTTTAATTCTTTTTTTTTTCAAGGTCTCAATATTCAGGTCAGACTCATAGTAATCCTCCTGTTTTCAGCCTCCCCAGCATTGGGATTATGGGCATGAGCCACCACACCTGGTCTCAGTGGCTGGCTCAGCCCACCCAGGGGATCAAACCCCAGTCCCTGCACTTGTCTAAGTAAGCGCTTAGTCTGCTGTGCTATCTCGCCAGCTAAGTCTTCCATGCCAAGAAATGCTCTCAGGTGGTGAATGTCCCCTGCCTCACTGCTCTGAGCCCAGGGCCCTCGGCCATTTTTATTCACTATCCTGACCCCCACTGGCAGCCCCATACTGGCAAAACAGAATATTTAGGTACTTATTGAATGAATAAATAAATAAGTGGGTAAGTTAGTGTGGTGGTAGGAGATCTGCCACTCCCACCTAGGGAGAGCTGCTTGGGACCTCAACCGCTCCGTATCCTGACCGGCCCACCTGCTCCTCTGAGCAAGATCTCACAAACTGAAACTTGCAGGACCTGGAACTGGACGCCACTCTGATGCCACAGTACTGAGGACAGAGGATCTCAAGCCAGGACAGATGATGCCTTCTGTTGTGCTCCAGCCAAATTCCTGTGTCCTCCTGGTCACTGACTGGCCCAGGAGCACACCTCATAGAGCTTTAAGCACACAGCCACGCAGCCTGTAACATGCTCAAGCGAAGCTTCCAGCAAAGGGGAAACCAGAGGAGATGCATTTGAAGGGCCAGAACTGAACCCTCCCTCCTGCAGAAGCATCCACAGCTCAGCCATGCAAAGTATCTTTGGGAGAAGGTGGGGCTTTGAGAGGGCACAGCCACCTCCTCTGCTCTGTGGTTTGATGCACTTGGCTGATGGCCCAATGGAGACCAAGGCTCCTCAGCCTCTGCGCTTCCAGCACCTTGAACTAGACAGTTCTTTGTTGGGGGACAGTGAGGGGAGGGAAAAGCATGAGAAGGGTATCTTGCACTTTCTAGGATACTAGAAACAATGTTTGCCTCTGCCTTCTAGATGCCAACAGCACCGCCCTCTCCTATTATTTCAACCAAAACTGTCCCCAGACACTATGAAATGTCCTCTGGCACCAAGTGACAGCTTGGACAAGAGAAGAAACTGATGAAAGCAATAGAAAGGTGTCTTCCCCCTCAGAGATGCCTCTTTCTCAGAGACAGGACAGATGACACAGGAAGGTGCAGCCACCATGGGAAATGGAGCGATGGTTTCTCAAAAATTTAGAAACAGAAATAAGCTAGCAACTTTATGTCTACATATGGATCTAAAAGAAGCAAAAGCAGGAACTTGAATAGCTATTTGGGCGCCCTGTCAACAGCTGCATGCTCACAAATACCCCAGAGGTGGAAGCCACCAAGTGCTCATCAACAGATGGGGAAACAAATCGGGGCAATACACAGGCTGGCATATTCAGCCTTCAAGCAGAAGAAAAGCCTGACAGACACTGCAACACTGCTGAATGCTGGACACTACACTACATGAAATGGGTGTGACATAGAAGGACATGAACTGTATGATTCTACCTGGAAGAAGCACTCAGCATAGTGAGGTTGCTAGAGGCAGAAAGCAGACAGCAGCCGCTCGAGGCTGGGGTGATGGATGAAAGGGAGACTTCCTGCTCTGCAGGGGAAAGTGGTGATGGCCGCACAGTGAACGCATGCACACGGCTCCACTGAATGGGTACAAATGGCTGCAAGGGTGGATTATGTAGCATATATTGTAATTTTCAGAAGTCATAGTGGACTGAAACATGGCATCTGCGCTGTGTATTTATGGAGAGGACCAGGCCCGTGAGCTGAGCTTCAGGGCGCTGCATACAGTAGCTCATTTCACTCTCCCCTGCTGCTGGGAGGAGGTGAGGATGACCGCAAAGCCCAAGAGTCAGGAGATGTACACGGTTCACCCTGCACCAAGCTGCAGATTCTAGGTGAAGTCCCAAGACAACTGGCCACAAACATCTAAAGCATCTCCTTATCCTAAGGTCAGAAGCTGGCAGGCTCCTCCTAAGAAGGGCCAGTGTCTGTCCCCTGTCCTGTGTGGACACTGACTCTTTGTCACCAGTACCCAAGTCTGTCACTGAAATGTAAAGGCAGTCAGAGACAGTGGAATTGAACAAGCGCAGCTATGTTCCAATAAAGCCTTGGTTACAGAAACAGGTTGTCGGCCACATTTGGTTAGCTTGCCAACCGCTAAAAGAATTCTTAACAATCTGGCTTAACCAGGAACTCTAGGCAGGATGGGGGAGGGGGGCAGTGGAGCAGATAATGGAACTGGTGTTAGTGAACAATCATTTTAATTCTCAAAAAAAAAAAAAAACCATCAGGAGAACAGAGTTTCTGAGGCTCTGGGTCTCTTCTAGGCCTCTCCTGCCCCCTACCTGCTTCTGCCAGCCCCTGGACTCCTTTGCTATCCTGCCAGACTAACCCTCTCTGCATGTCCTTCATTCTCCCTGAGGCAAGACTGTCACCTGGGCCCTCAGCCCCACAGCTCAGCTTCTCTAGGGTACTGCACCAGACCTTACTGGAGAAGGCACCTGACACAGCTCTGCCTGGATGGGTCACCACAGCACGCAAAGAGTGGTGTGACACCAAGGGCCCGTCAGTGACAGTACAGGTCCCATGCTGCTGCACAAGCCCTGTCCACACTAGCCAACCTCCATCATAAGCATGCCTACAGCAGACGGGCCCCATGGGCCCAGCTTATGTTCCTGCCCTTCCCCACAGCCCACTTCTGCTCCTCCAAAGAGCCACCAAAGGCCCTGGCTTTTAAAATCCCCAGGACTAGGATGGGGTGAAGCTTCATGGTAGTCTTGCCAAGAATGTGTGGCCCTGGGTCCCGACCCCCTCACCAAAAACATAAAAGTTGAATTTTCTATGTGAACGCCGAATCTCACTCCTCCTGTGTGGCTACTGCTTCCCCCTGTGTGCTGCAGGGCTGGGTACACAGCAATGGGCAGGCCCTCCCCTACCTCTAGGATGACCGCATAGTCAATCTTGCCATATGCAAATGCATTTCTTTTTTTAAGAAAGAGAGAAAAAGAAAGAGCCCTGGCAGAGAAGCATGCTTCTCATCCTTTCTTAGCACTACTGTAAGGTCTCCAGGACTTCTCCTCTCTCTGCCCCTCCCACTCACCCACAGCCTCAAAGGACAAAGCATCCTCCCCACTTCCACACTCATGAGAGTGACTGGGAGCTAAGGCTGAGGTGCTGCCCGGAGCAGTCACTATGCAGGGGGTGACTGTACACAGAACAGCTGTATGTGGGCCACAAAACAAGGTACCCGTGGATCTGCCCCAGGGCACCTTGGGCCACGTGCACTTTCCCCAGGAACCAGCATAGGCTGTGAAAGGTCCGTTTTCCTCCTTCCTCAGCATCTCTTCCTACAGATGTGGCCATGAGAAATGACCAGAGGAATGCAGCTTAGACAAACGCTTGAAGCTCCTGAAAGCACTTTATCAACTGAAGAAGAGAAGACCTCAAATGCTGCACTGCTCACCAATAACAGTAAAAACCTCACAGAATCAAACAGGGAAGAGCACAAGAGCCAGTGTCCTCTTCAGGAGACTCCTTCGCCCCCCTTCCTGCTGCCTGGGTCAGGAGGAGGATGGCTGGGGAAGAAGGGAGGTGCTAAGCTGGCATCTTGGGACTTCATGGTTCTGACTGCATTCCAGGTCAAATCCGAATAACTTCTGTAAAAATATAGACTCAACACCTTAAATTCACAGGGTCTTGTCCTTCATTAAGGGTTTGCCGAGAGGTAACCAGGCCATTCAGCGAGAGTGCTGACCTCCACAGCACTTGTGGCCTGGAGCTCATGCTCAGTACGTGTGAATTCCCTTTGCTTTATGGGGCGGGGGGCAGTCAAAGGCTAACCACGCAGGGAGCTGGAGCACAGCTCAGAGGTAGTGCATGCATCTAACATTTGGGTGGCTCTGGGTTCCACTCCCAGGGCTACAAGCAATCAGACCCACAAGCACTACAACTACAAACCTATAAGTGACTTAGGAGCACTGTAGGCAGAGTTGTGTCAAGGTTTTCTCAAAACACACCTTCCGCAGAGAGCACAGGGGCATGGGAAAGGGTTTCAGGACTGAACCTTCTAGAGAGTCAACTGCTGAAAACCAGGGTGCGCTGAGCTAGTGATGGCTCTTCCCTCTGTGCAGTGAAAGATAGGGAGTGGAACAGCTGTGGGGAGAGCATGCAACCTCCATTTTTGTGGGCCCAGGGAGAGGATGAACTCACACTTCATCTCCTCTAGGTCAACAGGCCACCTCACAGCTCCCACAGACAGAGGAGCAGAGAGAGTGGTATTGAGGAATGTCTGTGTCATCGTCCAACTCTGACACACACCGCAAAACTAAACCTAACAAATGAAAACCTAGCAGACTGCAAGAGCACACAAGTGTAATCCTAGCTCTATGAGGGGCTGAGGCAGGAAGACTGCAGTTCTATCCCAGCCTAAGCAACTTAGCAAGATCCTTTATCAAAATAAAAGACCTGGGGAGGTAATTCAGGGCAAGGATGCTGGGTTCAATCCCAAGTACTACAAATACAAAGAAAAAAAAAAAAGGAAAAAGAAAAAGAAAACCTGAATATTGCAAAACTTCCTAACAGCACAGGTCTGCATCTGTCCAAAAAATAACCAGAGCATGGGATCGGAAGGCTAAGGGGCAGGAGCTGCCTTCCTAGCACTCTCTAAGGGTGTGTGTGCCATTCACTCATCACAGGTGATGCTGAAGCTGCAGCTCAGGTATGAGGAGGAAGTTTCTGACAACTAAGGTGAAGGTCAGAGACTTGGGAGGGCAAACCAGGCTGACAGATTAAGCCTGCTGTCACCTGTTTTCATAGTCAGTGAACAACAAAGGGCTTTTACATTTTCAAATGATTGAGGAAATAGCAAAAATGGCACATCTGGTGACCCGTGGAGCTCTACAAAATCCAGAAGTCAAGGTCCAGGAGTGAAGCTTCCCAAGAGCACAGCACGCACAGCCCTGCTGTCCTCTCCCTTTCCTGTGTCCGGAGGCTGAGGCATATAAGTGACTTCCAGAAATGCCCTCATCCCCTGTGATGCTTAACAGTGCCCCCCTTCTGTGGCCACATGGCAGAGCCTCCTGATAACCTGGTGTTACTGTGAAGCAGTGGATCAATGTTTTTCTGCCTGTGGCTTCAGGCATTTCTTCTCCTTGTCCCTTATTTCACAATTACTATTACCCCCAACTGAGTCAGAGAAGCAAAACCATCCAACACTGGCAGCAGGTAAAGGCCAGCCATGGAAGGAACCCAGGAGATTCATCCCCTAGGGCTGATGGCTCCTTCCATACAGGATAGATGCAGTCTTTTCTATGAAAAATGTCATCCCACTGCGGAAGCCTTGGCCCATAACGTGGACAGCCCCGTCACCTTGTGGTCCAGGTGCAGGCCCAGACCTTCGTACCTGCATGTCGCTCCTGGCAATGAATCCCTTGCCCTCCACGTCACAGGCCTGGAAGAACTCCTGTGCCTTCCTCAGCACGGCCACCTGGCTGGCTACCTGCTCCTGGGTTGGGCAGGTCCCACTCTGCTTCGGGCTCCAGCCAGGACTCTGGGCCCAGACGCCCTCCCTCCTGTCAGGGTAAGCCATCCAGATCTGTCAATTTCTTCCTCTTTTCAGAACCTGAGAATGGAAGAAGGGAGATAGAGGCAGTGTGGCAGTGTGGTAAGGATGGAGAGGCTGAGGGAGGCAGAGGGCACGTGACACGGTGCAGCGCCGCCCCCCAGCACAGCCTCACATCTCTAAGCAGCCGCCTCTGAATTAGCAGACGCTCAGGGTGAGGGAAACATTCCACAGTTGCTCACACATCAGTGGCCCATCAAAGGCCAAGAGGCAGAGCAGATAGACAACAAACATGGAAAGGCGTGGTGGGCCTGAAAACAATTTCTCCTAACTTAAGCAGTCATGTGACAACTAAAGCATATGCTGATAAATCAGTTGCCTCTTACTGTCTACTTAGAGGCAGGCACTGTGCTATGGCCCCACATACATAATTTATGGAAATTTTACGACTCTCTCATATAGATATGATCATCTCCCTTTTGGAACAGTAGAACAGGTCCATTTCACCAATGAGACACTAGAGTTCAAGGAAGTTGCAACTTTCCCAATACTACACTGAGAGTGTAAAAGCTGAGATTAAATCTACTTACAACATGTACAAAATTAGTGAAACTGTCCTATTAATCGGTTTTGAAACTGTCTCATTGCTTTTTGTTTCTCAATAAAATTATTCAAAAAAATGAAAAAAAAAGTACAACATTGTCTTTTTTTTAAAAAGCACAGAAATTTATTTGATATTTGTTTTTTAATTTAATTTAATTTAATTTTGAAGGGTAAAAACAAGTAGCAGAAACAAAGACAGAGGGGGGGCTGGGGAGATGGCTCATTGGAATAAATGCTTCCCTGGCAAGCACAAGGGCCTGAGTTCAATCCCCAGTTTCACCAAAAAAAAAAAAAAAAAAAAAGAAAGAAAGAAAGAAACAAAGACAGAAACAGGGTAACATACACCAATAAATATGTTACAGACTTTCAAAACAAGAATAGCAAATTAACAATGGTTGTTATATTACCTATTTTTATCATCAAATCTGTTGCTCAGATTAACAGATATATCTATGTGAGATTGGACAAATAATTGAATATTAACACTTGCTTTTGATAAACTTTATTTTTTTCTTGTCTTTACTTTTTAAAAATTTATTTTAAAGAGAGTATAATAATTGATAAGACATTAGAACTGGCACACATTTAGAAGACCAAGATGCAAGGTATTTAGCCAAAGTACTCAGTCTTGGTCCCAGTCCATCCACGTCCACTGTGCAGCATGGGCTCAAGTGGAGGGCGCACCACACTGCAATGCATGCCCTCCCATGCCACTCGGAAGCAGCCAGCTGTGGGGGAGCCGTTTCCCAGTACTAAAGACCTCTCTCCAGAGGGGCCTGAGTCTGCAGTTCAGGCTGGCAGAGGTGCACCCCTCTATAGGGAGCTCCCTGTGTGGGTTGAACTGCTAACCAGCTGGATTGGGCAATAATCCAGGCTATATTCAGCCCAAACAACCACAGCTGCACACCTAGTGCAGGGTCTGAAGATGTCCTGGGTGGGTCTGCAGAGGTGCTTGCCAGGGCACGGGAAGTAGACCCAGAGAGCCTGGATTCCAAGCTGGACTCCTGCACCCAACTGGCCCTACGCAAGTCACCACCAGGCTGGATCTCGGTTTCTGCATCTGCACATGAGAGGACTTCAGCCGTTTGTTTTTAACCCCCCTGCTAGCTCTGACAGTCTACGTTTGGGGAATTCCAAAATCATAAAATGTTCTTAATGAAAAACTAAGTTAATGTGACAAAAGGAAATCATAACATACTTGAATTTTTCCATCTGAAGACTCTCTGGAGGTAGAAGGCTGGATGTCAAATGCATGATAAGATTAACTCTAAGTGTGCAGGCAGCTGGAGAGCACAAAGCCCTGAATCCTGTCTTCTGCGTTCACAAAATAAAAAAGCAGGAAGTCCAGAGAGAAGACCTTCTCTCAGATATATATTATGCAAATATGTTGTCCCAGGCTGGGGAGATAGCTCGGCGGTTTAAGTCTGAGTCCTGCCTGGCAAGTGCAAGAACTCAGGCTCAATCCATGGTACTGCATGCTCTGCTGGGCGTGGTGGTACACACCTATCCTCCCAGTGCTGGGGAGGCTGAGATAGGAGGATCACTATGAGTTCAAGCTGCATAGTAGCACTCTGTACAAAATAAATAAATAAAAGTGTTTTTTTTTTTGGTTTTGTTTTGGTTTTCTGTTGTTGTTGTTGTTGTTGTTGTTGTTGTTGTTGTTGTTGTTTTCAGATCCAGCCCAGCCCAGGCTGGGTGAGTGTGGGAGAGCTTCCGGCTACCCTGTGCCCGCAGGACCTCTCCAAACCAAAACTCAGGTATGCCACATGAGTGGGACCCTCTACCATGCCATCGGGACCCCTCCACCCCTCCAGAGCCCCTGTCCCCAAGCCCCCTGAGTGAGTGAGAACTTCTGCAACATGCTCGGGACCCCTAGATCCAGCCCAAGGCCAGGCCCGGCTAGTATGTGGGAGAGCTTCTGCACTCCCCTGTTCCTGCTGGGCCAGAGGCACAACAGAGGGGCACCAGAGGTTCACAGTTGAGCAAGAGGAGCACAACATCTTCACTTCCAAGGGCTGAAGCAGGAAGGAGCTGAACACAACAGCTAGACCAAGACAGGCATAACTGGATAAACTGAAACTTAATAGATCTGCACCCGAATTTCAGTAGGTGCTATGGTTATAACTGCAACAAAGCTCTACACCAAAAGACAGAGGTCAGTGCTATATGAAATGATAAATACAAGGAGTAAAATGTGGACATAGGCCTAGAGCAGACCCAGAACAACTGCAGAAGACACTAGCTCTGCTAAAATCTATGAATTAATAGCATTGGAAATAGAGAAACAACAGTAGAAAGGTACAGAGGAACTCAGAGCAAAATCAATATCTGAAATAAAAAAAAGAAATCTCTGAATTCATAGTACCTTAAGTAAAGAATCAAATGCAGAAACATATGGAGGAAACCCAAGACCCACCCAGAACAAGTGCAGAGGACACTACCTCACCTGAAATATAAGAATTAACAGCGTTGGAAGTAAAGAAACAACAGCAGAAAAGAGGGACTCAGAGCACAATTAATTTCTGAAATAAAAAAAAGAATTCTCTGAATTCATAGCATCTGAAGTAAAGAATCAAATACAGAAACATATGGAGGAATCCCAATCTGAAAAAACTTTGCAGTAAAAGAATGAATAATTGCTTCTAAAGAAGACATTGATTGAAAAATAGAGTAGATTAGAAAAATGATGGATTCCTTGAATGAGCAGTACAGGAAAGAAATAGATCATATGAAGCAGAATCAAATAGATCTAGAGGAACTTAGAATCTCAATCACAATCCTGCAAAACCGTTTGAGTGAAAGTGAAGACAGTTTCAGATCTTGAAGACACTGGTACAGCTAGTGAAAAGGTAAGAAAGGATCTCTTAAAAAAAAAAAAACTAAGATGCAGGAAAAAATAATTCATCACCTGCAAGACGATTCAAAGATGAACAATGTGAGACAAATAGGCATCACTGAGAAAGATGGAATCAATACAAATGATATAAAAAGAATATGAGCAGAAATAATAGCAGAAAACTTCCCATACATGAGGAAACAATCTGACATTCAGGTAACCAAAGCATACAGAATGCCAAATAAGTTCAACCCAATTAAATACACACTGAGATATATAGTAGTCAAGATCCCAGAAATACAGCACAAGAATAATATACTGAAAGTTGTTAGAGAAAA